CACCAGATGACAGGAGGCACCACCATCACCACCACTACCACCAGATGACTGAGGCACCACCACCACCACCGGATGACTGAGGCTACATTGCCACCACCAGATGACTGAGGCACCACCACCACCACCAGATGACTGACCACCACCTCCAGATGACTGAGCACCACCACCACCACCAGATGACTGAAGCAACACCCCACCACCAGATGACTGAAGCATCCCGCCACCACCAGATGACTGAAGCACCACCACCACCACCACCTCAGATGACTGAGGCAACACCACCACCACCAGATGACTGAAGCAACACCACCACCTGCCAGATGACTGAAGCACCACCTACCACCACCTCCAGATGACTTGAGGCACCACCACCACACCAGATGACAGGAGGTACCATCACCACCACCACCAAATGACTGAGGCACCACCACCCAGATGACAGGAGGCACCACCACCACCAGATGACAGGAGGTACCACCACCACCAGATGACAGGAAGTACCATCACCACCACCACCAAATGACTGAGGCACCACCACCAGATGATAGGAGGCACCACCACCGCCACCCCCAACACCACCAGATGGCAGGAGGCTACATTACTACCACCAACACCAGATGTCTGAGGCTGCATCACCACTACCATTAGATGACAAGAGGCTACATTACCACGAACAGCACCAGATGTCTGAGGCTACTTTACCACCAACACCTGACTGAGGCTGCATTACTACCACCAACACCAGATGACTGAGGCCACATCACCACCACCACCAGATGACAAGAGGCTACATCACCATGAATGAAAAAATTACAAATAGATGCTTATGTTGTTATTTGGGAGCTACTATAGTATGTAGTCTACAGAGTTGGAGCTACTGTAGTATGAAGTCTACAGAGCTGGAGTTACTGTAGTATGTGGTCTACAAAACTGGAGTTGTGTCTACCAGGATATTTACACTGTAGCATCCATGAACCTAACATAACCTAGGTTATCTTATGTGTTAGGTTCATGGATGCTACAGTGTAAATATCCTGGTAGACACAACTCCAGCTCTGTAGACCACATACGACGCAGCACCAGTTCCATAGACCACATACTACAGTAGCTCCAGCTCTGTAAATCACGCCTGCCTGCCTGCCTCGGGGCCTACCTGTTTGCCTGACAGCCTGCCTGCCTACCGAACGCTCGGCCTGCCTACCTACTGGCCTACCTCCATGCCGAGAGCCCGGCCTACCTACCTGCCTAATGGTTGCCCCTCGTGTAAAGAGGATGGCCGGCCCAAGGTGGCCCTTGTTTAAGGTGTAGTAGCTGTCTCCAACACAACTACCACATCCTAAGTTAAACGAGCTGCATGACCCAGGGTCAAGGAATAGTCCGAGAAGACCGGACAAATCGCCAACTGCACTGACTATCCATTACCCAGGAACACGATCCGCATATCGATTAACATCCAGGTCCCCAATTACTGCTGGGTAGACAGAGGCAACTGTGGTAACATTATGAGATGTTCTTATTACTTCCATGCTAGTGTACTATTCCAGATGTTACTAAATGTTACATAATACTTCCTTGAGATATATGTATAGTATATATCAGATGCCTCAAAGAGAGCTCAGGTTCTCAACTGGCTCAGCCATGTTAATATTGTTATTATTATCCACTCTGTATCTGTGTTTTTCGGGCTAAATAAACTGTTTCATTTCAATTCAATTCAATTCACTACCTACCTATATACCTACCTAGCTATTAACCCACCCACCTACCTACCTAGCTATCTACCTACACACCCACCCACCCTAACTACCTACCTACCCATAAGTACATTATCTATTTTTCGATAAAGTAGATTATCGACTTTTCAGGGTAGATTTTCGACTTTTGGGGAAATATTACCTAATTTTCCGAAGTAGATTATCATAGAAAACGGGAAATTTGTATCACAAAAAATGGAAAATATCTACTTTCTGGGAAAGTTGGTTATCTACTCATCATAGAAAACGGGAAATTTGTGTCATAGAAAATGGGAAATATCTACTTTCCGGGAAAGTTGGTTATCTACTTTCCCGAAAAGTAGATTATCTACTTTTCGAGAAAGTAGATTATCGACTTTTTGGGGAGGTAGATTTTCGACTTTTGGGGAAATATTACCTAATTTTCCGAAGTAGATTATCATAGAAAACGGGAAATTTGTATCACAGAAAATGGGAAATATCTACTTTCCGGGAAAGTTGGTTATCTACTTTCCCGAAAAGTAGATTATCTACTTTTCGAGAAAGTAGATTATCGACTTTTTGGGGAGGTAGATTTTCGGCTTTTGGGGAAATATTACCTAATTTTCCGAAGTAGATTATCATAGAAAACGGGAAATTTGTGTCATAGAAAATGGGAAATATCTACTTTCCGGGAAAGTTGGTTATCTACTTTCCCGAAAAGTAGATTATCTACTTTTCGAGAAAGTAGATTATCGACTTTTTGGGGAGGTAGATTTTCGACTTTTGGGAAAATATTACCAAATTTTCTGAAGTAGATTATCATAGAAAACGGGAAATTTGTATCACAAAAAATGGAAAATATCTACTTTCTGGGAAAGTTGGTTATCTACTCATCATAGAAAACGGGAAATTTGTGTCATAGAAAATGGGAAATATCTACTTTCCGGGAAAGTTGGTTATCTACTTTCCCGAAAAGTAGATTATCTACTTTTCGAGAAAGTAGATTATCGACTTTTTGGGGAAGTAGATTATCGACTTTTTGGGGAAATATTACCTAATTTTCCGAAGTAGATTATCATAGAAAACGGGAAATTTGTATCATAGAAAATGGGAAATATCTACTTTCCGGGAAAGTTGGTTATCTACTTTCCCGAAAAGTAGATTATCTACTTTTCGAGAAAGTAGATTATCGACTTTTCGGGGAAGTAGATTATCGACTTTTGGGGGAAATATTACCTAATTTTCCGAAGTAGATTATCATAGAAAACGGGAAATTTGTATCACAGAAAATGGGAAATATCTACTTTCCGGGAAAGTTGGTTATCTACTTTCCCGAAAAGTAGATTATCTACTTTTCGAGAAAGTAGATTATCGACTTTTCGGGGAAGTAGATTTTCGACTTTTGGGGAAATATTACCAAATTTTCCGAAGTAGATTATCGCGAAAGCAGGAAATTTTATCACAGAAAATGAAATATCTACTTTCTGGGAAAGTTGGTTATCTACTTATCGCAAAGAAAACGGGAAATTTGTATCATAGAAAATGGGAAATATCTACTTTCCGGGAAAGTTGGTTATCTACTTTCCCGAAAAGTAGATTTTTCTACTTTTCGGTAAAATAGATTATCGACTTTTCGGGGAAGTAGAATATCGATTTTTTGTGAAATATTACCTAATTTTGAGAAGTAGATTATCATAGAAAACGGGAAATTTGTATCATAGAAAATGGGAAATATCTACTTTCCGGGAAAGTTGGTTATCTACTTTCCCGAAAAGTAGATTATCTACTTTTCGAGAAAGTAGATTATCGACTTTTTGGGGAAGTAGATTACCGAATTTTGGGTGAAATATTACCGAATTTTCCAAAGTAGATTATCATAGAAAACGGGAAATTTGCATCACAGAAAATGGGAAATATCTACTTTCTGGGAAAGTTGGTTATCTACTGATCATAGAAAACGGGAAATTTGTATCATAGAAAATGGGAAATATCTACTTTCCGGGAAAGTTGGTTATCTACTTTCCCGAAAAGTAGATTATCTACTTTTCGAGAAAGTAGATTATCGACTTTTCGGGGAAGTAGATTATCGACTTTTTGGTAAATATTACCTAATTTTCCAAAGTAGATTATCATAGAAAACGGGAAATTTGCATTACAGAAAATGGGAAATATCTACTTTCCGGGAAAGTTGGTTATCTACTTTCCCGAAAAGTAGATTATCTACTTTTCGAGAAAGTAGATTATCGACTTTTTGGGGAGGTAGATTTTCGACTTTTGGGGAAATATTACCAAATTTTCTGAAGTAGATTATCATAGAAAACGGGAAATTTGTATCACAAAAAATGGAAAATATCTACTTTCTGGGAAAGTTGGTTATCTACTCATCATAGAAAACGGGAAATTTGTGTCATAGAAAATGGGAAATATCTACTTTCCGGGAAAGTTGGTTATCTACTTTCCCGAAAAGTAGATTATCTACTTTTCGAGAAAGTAGATTATCGACTTTTTGGGGAGGTAGATTTTCGGCTTTTGGGGAAATATTACCAAATTTTCCGAAGTAGATTATCATAGAAAACGGGAAATTTGTGTCATAGAAAATGGGAAATATCTACTTTCCGGGAAAGTTGGTTATCTACTTTCCCGAAAAGTAGATTATCTACTTTTCGAGAAAGTAGATTATCGACTTTTTGGGGAGGTAGATTTTCGACTTTTGGGGGAAATATTACCTAATTTTCCGAAGTAGATTATCATAGAAAACGGGAAATTTGTGTCATAGAAAATGGGAAATATCTACTTTCCGGGAAAGTTGGTTATCTACTTTCCCGAAAAGTAGATTATCTACTTTTCGAGAAAGTAGATTATCGACTTTTTGGGGAGGTAGATTTTCGACTTTTGGGGAAATATTACCTAATTTTCCGAAGTAGATTATCATAGAAAACGGGAAATTTGTATCACAGAAAATAGGAAATGTCTACTTTCTGGGTAAGTTGGCTATCTACTTATCATATTTCCCCAAAAGTCGATAATCTACTTCCCCAAAAAGTCGATAATCTACTTTCCCGAAAAGTAGATAATCTACTTTCTCGAAAAATCGATAATCTACTTTCCCGAAAAGTAGATCATAGAAAAGTATATATATATATATATATATATATATATATATATATATATATATATATATATATATATATATATATATATATATATATATATATATATATATATATATATATATATATATATATATATTATGTAATGAAAGTGGTTAAGAAATGAAACACTGGGTTCATCTTATTGTACCAAGGTTATATTCACACAAATAAAATAGCCTATGGTGTTAGTAATTCCCTGATGTACTGTACAGAAAGTCATCACACTAACTTGGGACTCAATAACAAAGATTATTTACCATTGTTCAAGCTATGGTTACATATTTTTACTTATGTTTAAAAGAGTTTTCTTTGCTGAAGGCATCAAAGCAAATTACATTGGTAAGTGACTACAGATGACTGAAGAAAAACAATACAATACCATTATGTTCACAAACCATTAAAATACATATACAGAAAAATCGTCCATCTTTTTCTCCAATTTTCTTTCCATTTGTTCACGTTGGATTTCACAAAGTCGATTCCAGTTGATAGAGGAGGAGGGCAAAGATAAGAAAAAAATGGGGAGTCCCTGAACCTGGCTGATGCCAGGTCCGAGGGCCAGGGTTCTCCCCCAAGAGAATCCTGACTCATTTAACCACTGGACAATCAAGCATGCTGGTCCAAAAGCCATTTTCCTCTTGGAAGACGCCTCCTGACCCCAGCTCAAAAGGATAAAAAAAGGCTAACCAAGTTCAGGACCGGCTCTCCTTGTCCTAGGTTCGGCACATCCTGGATGAGGAATTCCAAACCCTTAAAAAAAAGGGGATCCTAAGCAGCCTAAGTTAACTCCAGGAAGCTCCTTATCCCAGATACAGAAATGTCCGAATCATGTAGAACAGAGATATAATGTTCCGAGAGTAAGGTACTTCCCAGAACAAACTTCTGACCCCCGTTCTAAGGGGGTAGGGGAAAGGGGGCAAATGCAGTGTTTGATTCTTCAAATTACATTGGTAAGTGACTATTGTATATATGACTAGTGAAGAGTGACAACAGAAACGTTACACCAATACAGTACAGTATTCTTAAAATAAGCCATTCAAATACATGTACGGAAAAGTCTTCCATCTTTTTCTACAATTTCATTTCCATTTGTTTACACTTGATATCACTAGGTTGATTCTAGTTGATAGATGAAGTTCCTTGGGTCGGATGGTGTCAAAAGATGACTCTTCTTGGTTGGGTCCAGACAAAGTGAAACCTGACCCTAGGATATGGAAGAAATGAAGGAAATAAATCCAATGCAGATTAAGTAGCACAAATCCTTCCCTCACTCATATAAAACTTCAGTCTAATCAAAGGTCCTCCCTCACTCTTCTGCTTCGGTACAATAAAGTTTCTCCCACTTATACATTACTTCAGTAGTTTTAATTCATATCACCAGTCTTCCCTCCTTCACTCCAATACTCATCAATCATATCTCCAGCAGTCTTCCCTATCCATTAACTTTAGTAGGATTAGCACATACTGTACAACTAGCCTTTCCTCTCAATAATCTCTGACCATAACATACAGCTCACAGGCAAGGAAAGTTGATAATCTCAGGGAGGTGATTGGGTCTTGATAAATACGAACTTTTTTTGAGCTGGGAGATTCAGGGACACACCTGGGAAGTTTGCACCATATTTAACTTAATTTCTCGCATTGTTACTCATATTGTGAGCGCCTAATAGTTAAAATACACAGTACCCCAAATCAAACATGTTTATTGCAGCAATATTTTTCATGCATATAGTATTAATTCCTTTACAAATTTTAGTTGTTACTAAACTTGAATTTTGTATAATATACAAACAAAATATTTAGTGTTCTCTCCCATGTAATATTCATTCATTTGGTTTTGTTTTATTCTTAGTTTTAACTTCGTCATTTAGTTTTATCAGGGAGAGTAAAGGCTTCTGCTTTTGTTGATGAAAGGCCTCTCTGCTCTTCCTTGATTTTTGAGCCATTTCCTTGCACAGTTTTCTTTGATTCTAACTGTTTCTTTAACAAAAATGTCCTCTTATTTTCTTCCTGCTACAACCTCTTCTGCTTTAACCTTCTTCTATACCTACTGCTGGAGAGTTTTATGGGGGACACACACACATGCCCTACAGTCCTGACCTCCTGGGGGACACACACATGCCCTACAGTCCTGACCTCCTGGAGGACACACACACATGCCCTACAACAATGACCTCCTGGGGGACACACACACATGCCCTACAACAATGACCTCCTGGGGACACACACACACACACATCCTGACCTCCTCACACATGCCCTACAGTCCCTCCTGGGGACACACACACACACACACACACACACACACATTCCCTACAGTCCTGACCTCCTGGGGACACACATGCCCTGGTCCTGGTCTCCTGGGGACACACACACATGCCCTACAACAATGACCTCCTGGAGGACACACACACATGCCCTACAGCCTGACCTGGGGACACACACACACATGCCCTCCCTGACCTCCTGGAGGACACACATGCCCACAACAATGACCTCCTGGGGACACACACACATGCCCTACAGTCCTGACCTCCTGGGGATACACACACATGCCCCAACATGACCTCCTGGGGAACACACACACACACACACACACACACACACACACACACACATGCCCTACAGTCCTGACCTCCTGGGGAGACACACACACACACACACACACATTCCCTACAGTCCTGACCTCCTGGGGACACACACACATGCCTACAGTCCTGGACCTCCTGGGAACACACACACACACACACACACACACACACACACATGCCCTACAGTCCTGACCTCCTGGGGCACACACACACACACACACACACACACACACATTCCCTACAGTCCTGACCTCCTGGGGACACACACATGCCCTACAGTCCTCCTGGGGACACACACACACACACACACACATGCCCTACAGTCCTGACCTCCTGGGAACACACACACACACACACATTCCTACAGTCCTGACCTCCTGGGGGACACACACACATGCCCTACAACAATGACCTCCTAGGTGACACACACACATGCCCTACAGTCCTGACCTCCTGGGGACACACACACACACACATGCCCTACAGTTCTGACCTCCTGGGCACACACATGCCCACACATGCCCGGACAACAATGACCTCCTGGGTGACACACACACATGCCCTACAGTCCTGACCTCCTGGGGACACACACACATGCCCTACAGTCCTGACCCTCACAGACACTGACCTCCACACACACACATGCCCTACAGTCCTGACCTCCTGGGGACACACACACATGCCCTATAACAATGACCTCCTAGGTGACACACACATGCCCAGTCCTGACCTCCTGGGGACACACACATGCCCTACAGTTCTGACCTCCTGGGGACACACACACATGCCCGACAACAATGACCTCCTGACACACACACATGCCCCAACAATGACCTCCTGGGGAGACACACACACATGCCCTACAACAATGACCTCCTGAGACACACACACATGCCCTACAGTCCCTGACCTCCTGGGTGACACACACACATGCCCTACAGTCCTGACCTCCTGGGTGACACACACACATGCCCTAGTCCTGACCTCCTGGTGACACACACATGCCCTACAGTCCTGACCTCCTGGGTGTTACACACACACATGCCCTACAACAATGACCTACTAGGGGACACACACACACACACACACACATGCCCCACAGTCAGTCCTGACCTCCTAGGTGACACACACACATGCCCTACAACAATGACCTCCTGGGTGACACACACACATGCCCCCACAGTCCTGACCTCCTGGGGACACACACACATGCCCTACAACAATGACCTCCTGGGTGACACACACACATGCCCTACAGTCCTGACCTCCTGGGTGACACACACACACATGCCCCACAGTCCTGACCTCCTGGGTGACACACACACATGCCCTACAGTCCTGACCTCCTGGGTGTTACACACACATGCCCTCAACAATGACCTACTCCACACACACACACACACACACACACACATGCCCCACAGTCCTGACCTCCCTATGGACCTCCTGACACACACACATGCCCTACAACAATGACCTCCTGGGGGACACACACACATGCCCTACAGCCTTGACCTCCTGGGGACATATACACACACATGCCCTACAGTCCTGACCTCCTAGGTGACACACACACACATGCCCTACAACAATGACCTCCTGGGTGACACACACACATGCCCTACAACAATGACCTCCTGGGGACACACACACATGCCCTACAGTTCTGACCTCCTGGGTAACACACACACATGCCCTACAACAATGACCTCCTGGGTGACACACTCACATGCCCTACACATGTTCTGGTGTCCTTATTATAGAATGGACATAGATTCTTTGGAGAGAGTACAAAGAAGAATGACAAAAATGATCCATAATATTAGAAACCTTCCATATGAAGAAAGACTGAAAAGCTTAGGCTTACATTCATTAGAGAGGCGTAGAGTTAGGGGAGATATGATAGAGGTGTACAAGTGGGTAAGTGGGATTAACAAGGGTAAAATGGAAGATGTTCTGAAGCTCAGTAATAACGAAATAACTAGAACAAATGGCTTTAAATTAGATAAATTCCGATTCAGAAAGGATATAGGCAAGCACTGGTTTGGTAATAGAGTTGTGGATATGTGGAATAGGCTACCGAGTGCTATAGTAGGATCGGGGACGCTAGGGAGCTTCAAGACGAAGTTGGATAGGCACATGGAAGTGCTGGGATGGGTGTGAAAGGGATCTGCCCTGTATGGGCCAGTCGGCCTCCTGCAGTATCCCACTTTCTTATGTTCTTATGTTCTTATGTAACAATGACCTCCTGGGTGACACACACACATGCCCTACAACAATGACCTCCTGGGGACACACACACATGCCCTACAGTCCTGACCTCCTGGGTGACACACACACATGCCCTACAACAATGACCTCCTGGGTGACACACACACATGCCCTACAACAATGACCTCCTGGGGACACACACACATGCCCTACAGTCCTGACCTCCTGGGTGACACACACACATGCCCTACAACAATGACCTCCTGGGTGAGACACACACATGCCACACAGCCCTGACCCCCTGGGGACACACGCGTACCATACAGCCCTGACCCCCTGGGGACACACATACTTGGTATGCGATATTTTTCTGGTGTATTTTGGTTAGGTTAGGGTAGTAGGTGCATGGTAATAGGTTAGCCTATTTTGGCATGATAAATAATTTTTCTGGTGAATTGGGGTGTTTTTTAGTCGATTCTGAACATCTTTTCTTACGGAAATGCGGCGTTTTTTTATATTTTTCCAATTTTTATGAGGAATCGAACCTCCCAAAAGCCTCATTTCCACAAGAAACAATATTCAGAATCGACTAAAAAACACCAAAATTCACCAGAAAAATTATTTAACATGCCAAATTAGACTAACCTCCTACTACCATGTACCTACTATCCAAACCAAACCAAACCAAGCCAAACCTAACATAACCTAACCTGACTTGACAAAAACTATGCATTTACCCAGGAAATTTCATAGAAGAAAATCGATTCCTGATTAAAAAAAATTAAAGTAATGGTGTAAAAAAGGGTGACCACCAGAAGCTGCTTGTTAATTTTCTTGATTGTTGCTATACTTATTGTTTTGGTGTTTTAAGTATATTAAAAGAAACGACAACTTTCTATTATAATTTTAAGTATTTTTTAGAAATTTTGTATTTACTCTATCCCGCTTCACAATTCTTCTCCCTAAATGATGGTGAACGCTTCCATGTATTCCTCCTCGCCATTGCTGATGTAAATCAACCTCAATATTAAGGTAAGTTGTTTAACACACAAATTAACACGATAATGCATAATACCTTTTAGAACCTGACCTAACAAACCCATAGGTTGGGTATGTTAGGCCAGGTTCTATTAGGTTCCATTTTTGTGTTTAATATTAGTGTGTAGAAAAATGTTCAACCAATTCGGACGATTCTTACTGGTGATCACCCTTTTCTGCACCTTTACCAAAAAATAATCCTATTGATATTAAAAAAATCTAGGTAATTATATAGGACTAACCCACGAGCGAGATTGATTGAAAACAATTATAAAAATGCTAGATTTTCATTCTTATATTATAGTGGACACTTGTAGTTTGTGGAAATATGTTAAAAAGTGGATATTTTCAAAATAAACGCTAC